TCTGGGCATTTTCACGCGCCTGCAGGTGAGATGATATTGAGGAGGGTTGGGAGGAGGGGTGGATGGTGAGAGAGATTGGAAGCTTAGTTGCCTCAAGTGCCCAGATTTTTTAGGCGCCTAAAAAATCAGCTTAGTTGCCTCAAGTGCCCACGTGGGTAGTCCTAGTTGCACACTCAAGCAGATACTGGTGCTCTCGTTACGCATGTATGCCAATCTATGCAGGAAATCTGAAATCTGGAAAGAATTGTATTTTCTTTTTTCTTTGCTTTCCCCCCCTTCTAAATTCTTGCCTCTCTCTCTCTCTCTCTCCCCTGTCGTCTTTCCCACCTCCTGCCTCCTCTCGCCTCCTTCCGCCTCCCTCCTCTGCCTCTGTGAGTGCAGGAGTGTGGTCCGCGATTCACTCTCAAGCTTATGAGTGTGCAGCGGGGGACGTTTGACTCAAAGGGAGGAGAGTACGAGTGGGTGTACAAGGTGAGTTACTTCGTGATGGTGGGTGTACAATGTGGGTTCCTTTTTGCGAGTGGAGGTGAGTTTCTTTCTGTGAGTGGGTGTGCAGGGTGACTTACTCTGTACGGGTGAGTGTAGGTGAGGTTGTTGCGAGTGGGGGTACAAAGTGAGTTGGTTTGTGTGATTGGGTGTAGTGAGTTCTTTCGTGCGAGTGGGTAACACACCTGTGTTGATGGCAACGCTGGCAGCCTACCCTTCATCGCTTCACAGCTTCATCCCTCCTTAATATTTTTTGCTTGGACAGAACGACATGGACACAAGCAGGAGAAGGTTCTTCCTGTAACGTCGTAGATGTAGATTCAGAAGTAGAGCTAACACCAGCACAGTCCTTCCACGTGCAACCCCATCATGAGAAGCCAGCTGATAGGAGATGCATGCCTGCCATGCCGTATATTTTACTTTGAGAAGTCATTTGTTAACCAGTGAGGTTGTTTGGGGAAAAGGCCTACCCTACAGTAAACAGTAGGGAAGCATGTGATGTGAATTTGGAGGATGCAAGCATTGCTTTCATGGTAGTGCCTAGAAATGAAATGTGAGATGAGATGAGACCCCGTATTGGTACCAAGGCAGGCCCTCTCAGACACCAGGGAATAAGCTGAAGCCTGAACCGACTCCAAGGAGCATCGTGCAAGCTGCATTTTGTAGGCGCCTCAACAAGCTTGAACCGACTTCTAGTAAGATGTTGCTGCTAGCTGCATGCTGGGCTTATGCAATGCAACAGGGCACAGCTAGTGGAGGGCAAGCAGGTGCTTGGATCAGTGCTGCCGACACCAATCCAAAGCACAAGTACCGTACCGGCAGGGAGAGACGGCAACAACTACCACGCATCATCCCTCCCTGACCCAGTGCTTTGAAAAATGGTGAAACAAAATATCTCGATCACCGCGCATTGCAGCTGCTTGCAGCTGCTTCCTTCCGATTGCTTCGCGTCTGCCTCTTCATTTTCAAATCTCTCAAAACCAGCCGTTGCTGCTCCTTCAATCTTCCCTCCTACTGCTTCCTCTGCCTCTTAAACCGCTCCAACGCTCCCAGCGCCGCCTCCTTCCCTTCCTCCTCCCCGGCCTTCTCAGCTGCCTCCCTCTCTCTCTTCGCCATTTCCTCTGCCTTCCCAGCCAGAGCACCAAACACCCCTGCAGGCACCGACACCTGCGTCACCTCCACCTTGCTCCTCCCCTTGCCCTCCCCTCCCTCTCCCTCTCCCTCCTCCCCTTCCTCCTCCTCTTCCTCCTCCTCATCAGCCAATTCAATCTCCTCCGGGTTCGCCTGTTGGGATTTCACCCCTGCTCCTGTCTCCTGCTCTTGAACCGTCCCTCCGCTCACAAACATGGGCACGCGCGGTTTCGCCGCCCCCTCCCCTGCTCCTCCTGCTGCAGCTTTCCCAGCAGCCGCCTGCTCTAAAGCTTCCATGCTATCCATCCCCCCAGCAGCTGGGGCGTCAAGTAAGCCTTCCCCAGGTGCGCCCTCCCTGCCCCGGCCAGTATCACCTTCCCGGGGCACGGAGGGGGTTGACTTCATGAGGTATTCGGGCAGAATGAAGTGCATCTGTGGGCGTGGAGAGGGGTGAGATGCGGTGGGGATGGGATGAAGGGACAGAGAGTGTGGGCAAGGGCGAGACATGAGAGGAGAGTGTTGACCTCATGAGGTACTCGGGTAGGATGAACTGCATCTGTGGGCATGGAAGGAGGGAGCGGGGAGTTGGGGGGGTAGCGGCAGGGAAGAAAGAAGGCGGGGAGAAGTGACACATGAGAAGAGGGGCTGTGTTGCTCCTGAGGCTCCACCATCTCAAACGCGTTCCATGCCTCATGACCCTAAACCTAACAACCCATCTGGCTGTGGCACCCACCTGGCTGTGGCACCCACCTAGCACCCCCACCCACCTGGCTGTAGCTAGCGGACACAGAGCGCTCAACCCTGAGCATGTCACGGAACGTGTCCTCATTCCCTCACCGACCTGACTGTACCACCGACCTCGCCGGCTGTAGCACCCCCACTCACCTGGCTGTAGCTAGCAGAAACGGAGCGCTTGATCTGCAGCATGTCACGAAACGTGTCATCATTCCCGTGAGCGATCTCAAACGCGTTCCACGCCTCCCAGAACTCCCCGTCGGACCGCGGGTCAGCGAGCAACTCACAAACCTAACAACTCATCTGGTTGGCTGAAGAACCCACCTCACACCCTCACGCACCTGGCTGTAGCTAGCCGATACAGATTGTTTGATCCGAAGCATGTCCCGGAACGTGTCCTCATTCCCGTGAGCGATCTCAAACGCGTTCCACGCCTCCCAGAACTCCCAGTCGGACCGCGGGTTGGCAACACTTCCTAAACCTGACAACACATGTACCTGTAGCACCCACCCCGCTGTAGCTCACACCCGCCTGTAGCAGCCCCACCCACCTGGCTGTAGCTAGCCGAAACGGATCGCTTGATCCGAAGCATGTCCCGGAACGTGTCCTCATTCCCATGCGCGATCTCAAACGCGTTCCACGCCTCCCAGAACTCCCCGTCGGAGCGCGGGTCCGCCAGCTGGCTGGCGTGCACAAAGATGGCTCTCGCGCGGTCGATCTCCCCCAGCCGCCTCTCCAGCGCCGCGTACCGCAGGCACATGCGCTTCACATCCGCGTCTGGTAGGCCAGACTCGATGGCTCTCTGTGGTGAGGAAGGGGATTGGGGAGGGAAGTGGATAAGACGAAGGGGAGGGAAGTGGATAAGACGAAGGGGAGGGAAGATGGGGGGAGGGGTATGGCGGCATATAAAAGATGCACATACATTGGGAATCTGGGGTGTAAGAAATTCGGGGCTAAACAAGGAGGACGGTAATCCACTGCATTTCACCACTTATGACCCAGCGGACGACATCCCACGCACCTCGTAGATATCGCGTGCCTTGGCCACCCCAAACAGCTCAGCAGCACATGCAATAAAGAGCTCTCACACGCCCATCCTCTGCTCCTCCGGTGACTGTTGAAGTGTCTTTTGCCTCAACCTAACCACCCCACGCACCTCGTAGATATCGCGTGTCTTGGCCACCCCAAACAGCTCAGCAGCACATGCAATAAAGAGCTCTCACACGCCCATCCTCTGCTCCCCCGGTGACTGTTGAAGTGTCTTTTGCCTCAACCTAACCACCCCACGCACCTCGTAGATATCGCGTGTCTTGGCCACCCCAAACAGCTCAGCAGCACATGCAATAAAGAGCTCTCACACGCCCATCCTCTGCTCCTCCGGTGACTGTTGAAGTGTCTTTTGCCTCAACCTAACCACCCCACACACCTCGTAGATATCGCGTGTCTTGGCCACCCCAAACAGCTCAGCAGCACATGCAATAAAGAGCTCTCACACGCCCATCCTCTGCTCCTCCGGTGACTGTTGAAGTGTCTTTTGCCTCAACCTAACCACCCCACGCACCTCGTAGATATCGCGTGTCTTGGCCACCCCAAACAGCTCAGCAGCACATGCAATAAAGAGCTCTCACACGCCCATCCTCTGCTCCTCCGGTGACTGTTGAAGTGTCTTTTGCCTCAACCTAACCACCCCACGCACCTCGTAGATATCGCGTGTCTTGGCCACCCCAAACAGCTCAGCCGCCCGCGCAATGAAGAGCTCATACACGCCCATGCGCTGCTCCTCCGGCACAGCCTGTGCTGCTCGCTCATACACGGCCATGGCATGCCGTGCCAGCCCATACTCCTCCTCTAGCTTTGCATAGGCCAAGTAGAGTGGCTTGCAGTCCGTCGCTGGGGCCTGGAGGGGGGACAAAAGGATTGGGGAGGGAGAACGGATTCAGGGTTTAAGGTTTGGGATATTGGTGTCTTGGGAACCTGTTGCTGCATAAGCGCGGGGGCTTGCGATCGTTCGCTGTAACATAGAAAGGGGAGAAGGGAAGGGGGGTATGGGGAATAAAGAATGGGATGTACCTGCACTTGCTGTTTGAGACAACTAAGAAAAGAAAAGAGGTTCGTAAACTGGCTCCTTGCACACAGCCATGTTTTGAGGCGTCTCAAAACTCCTTGCACATGAGGAACATGAGGAAGCAAGCTTAGCGCAAGAGAACTGTCTGAATCAAACAAACGCACTGCACTCACACTCGCGGGTGTGTGCTCGAACAAGTCCCGTGCACAATGAGGCATGGCACTCACACTCTCAAGAGCCTGTTCAAAGAGATCTCGCGCCCGCTCCAGCTTCTTCCCTCCGTAGCGCTGAACGAACTTGGAGAGGTAGGTGGTCCAGATGTCGCGCACGTGCGGGTACTTGAATATATTCACTCCACGCTCGTACACCTTGAAGCTGTCCTCGAAATACTTGTGCTCCTGGGGTTGGAAGTTGGAATAAGAGCAAAGGCGTTACATACACACACGGTATGAAGAAGAGAAGGATAGGTTATCAAAGGGTTAAAGAGAGTGGGCTCAAAACAGCTCTACACCTTCAAAATGTGCTCAACCTACTAGTGCTCCTGAGATTGAGACTGCGCCTCACATACAGAGCGCAAAACTATCAAAGAAGCACAGACACTTCAAACCAGCCTAAGAGCACCTCACCTCGAGCATGAGTGCGTAGTTGATGATGATCTGAGGCGTGGCGATCTTGAGGTCAATGATTCGGGTATAGTCCGCCTGGTACACTCCATTGCACTTACCACGCCTTCCCCTTCCCCACCCTCTCATACTCACTCACCTCGAGCATGAGCGCGTAGTTGATGATGATCTGGGGCGTGGCGATCTTGAAATCAATGATTCGGTTATAGTCCGCCTGGTACACTCCATTGCACTTACCACGCCTTCACCTTCCCCACCCTCTCATACTCACTCACCTCGAGCATGAGTGCGTAGTTAATGATGATCTGAGGCGTGGCAATCTTGAGGTCGATGATTCGATCGTACACCGCCCGGGTGGTCTCTAGAGTGCCCAGGCTCTCCTCCAGGTCCACGTACAGCGTCCACACCTTGAGGCTGCGATACACCTTCAGCTGCGGCCTCTCGTCTCCTTCCGCCGCCGCTGTTTGCTCAAAAAAAGGGAACAAAATATAAGAAAAAGTCAAGGTGTTATGAATCCCCTCCACAGGCTCTCCTCCAGGTCCACGTACAGCGTCCACACCTTGAGGCTGCGATACACCTTCAGCTGTGGCCTCTTGTCTCCTTCCGCCGCCACTGTAGTTCCAAAAAAGGGACGAAATAAGGGAAAAGGCAGGGTGTTAAGAGTCCCCAGGCTCTCCTCCAGGTTCACATACAGCATCCACACACCTTGAGGCTCCAATATACCTTCAACTGCGGCCTCTTGTCTCCTTCTGCAGCGGCTACTGTGGTCAGCAGCATGGACAGCAGCAGAGGGAGCAATGGGAAAAGAGGCATGTTAAGGGTCACGGCGCCATTTCCGATCAACTCAACACTCAACCCACGCTCCCCCCTGTATCTGCATACAAACACTGTCCAAGCCTCCGTAGCTCCTGCTCCTGCATACTAACAATCAGGTATTCTCCAAGCTTCCAAATCACAATCCCTAAACCTTTCATCACGAACCAACCCCCCAGCAGCGCTCACCTTGCCGCAGCACAGCCACTGACGGCTGCAGCGTTGCTCGCCTCAAGAGCTCCCTTGCCCCATGGAAGTTGTGATGCCGCACCTCCATCTCCGCCCACTCACACCACTTCTCTCCTTCCCCTCACCTCACAACCCTCGCCCGCCCAGCCCCCCAGCACCCCAACCCCCCAGCAGCGCTCACCTTGGCGCAGCACAGCCACTGACGGCTGCAGCGTTGCTCGCCTCAGCAGCTCCCTCGCCCCGTGGAAGTTATGATGCCGCACTTCCATCTCCGCCCACTCACACCACACCGCCGCAACGTCCTCCACCGCTTTCAACCGCGCCTGAACGGCCCGCTCCAGCACCCGCCTCGCATTCCCCAAGTCCCCATGCTTCTCATACAGCTTTGCAAACGCCACCCAGAGCGTATGCGGCTTCCCCACCGCCTGAAACGGATCCACGGTCTTCACAGCCTCGGTGTAGGTCAGGATCTGACGCTCAGGATTGGTTTGGAAGAGCTTGGCGCGCTTATGCCACTCGTGCACGTTGTGGGGGTTCTGGCGGAGGAGGACTGCGGAGACGAGCTCGGGGCGGCGGTCCATGAGGGCTTCTAAGCGCGCCAAGCGCAGATCCGCGTCTGCTGTTCGGAACATCCAGTCTAACGGCTTCTTCTTCTGCTGCTTCTTGGCCAGATTTGCCCCGTCTTGTACCTTCTGCTGCTGCTGCTGCTGCTGCTGCTGCTGCTGTTGGTGGAGCTGCTGCAGCTTCAGCAGTTGTTGTTTCGTCAGCTTCTTCCCCTTGGGCTGTCCCTCCTTGTCTGCTTGACCCTCTGCCTGCTGCTGCTCCTGCCCGTCCTCTCTCCTCGCCGCTTCCTCTGCTCCTGCACCCGCCTCCTCCCCCTCCGCCACTCCGTCCTCTTCCTCTTCCCACCACTCCTTTTCCTCCTCTTCCCCCTCCGCCTCCTCCTCCTGCTCCTCCTCCTCTCCAGCAGTGAGCTCTAGTTTGGCCGCCAGCATACTCTCTTCGAACTGCGCCAAGGCGTCGAACACCACGCTGAAATCGCGCACCGTCATCACACTAGTTAATCCGTCCTCGTACACGTCTCTAGCGCGCTCAAACAGCCCTCGCCGGATGTAATAATCCGCTAAGGACGTCCATAATCGCCCTACCTCGTGTGAAAACCGCCGAATTCCGCTTCGCAGAATCGCGTCCACTTTTAGGGTTCCGCTTCCGCCTATCCCCCCTCCGCCTCCGCTTCCGCTTCCGACTGCTCCGCCTCCCCCCCGGCCTCCCGCGTCCCCGTGCATCACCTCCGCGTGCCGCGTGAGCAAATCACAGAGCTGCAGCCACAGCTGGTGCCGCGTTCTCCCGCGCACCGACACGAATTTCTCGTCGTTTAAAGCCGACGCGAGCCGCTCCGCCGCTTCGCGCCATTCCTGCGCTTCGACCAAGAACTCCACGTACTCCTCCACGCGCAACGGATCGAACCGCAAAAACCGGCGGAATATCCGGCGAGCGGTCTCGATGGGAATGCCAGGCTGGCGGACGAATCTAAGATACGGATCCCAGAGCCTGTCGTGTTGCGTCGCGGGCAGGGATCGAAGCGCACGATCGAACGTGCGACGCGCGCGCGTTACTAGCTTCTGGTCGTCTACCAACGCGGATAGGTACTCGAGCCAAATGCGCGGCATGCGGTGCATCGTAACTAAAGCGCGCTCGAACGCGTTGTTCAAAGCGGCGTGCGCAGCGTGATTCGCGGGAAGCCCGCGGACCGCCGCGCGGCGTTCCTTAAGGTACGCCGCCCATAGCTTGTAAGATCCCGGGAGAGCTACTAACGCGCGCTCGTAAATCAAGTACCGCTTCCGCGCGGGCGAATCGCGCCGCGCCGCGAGGTACCGCCACCAGAGTTTAAGAGAAAAAGGGTTTCTGAGAATCTCTTCCTCGTATAGCAGATCGTCCTCGGACGGGAGTAGACCTTGCGGGAGCGACGACATGGCGGAGGACGGCGTGAAAGCAGGCGGACCAGGCGGAAGCGGGGTTGGGGAGAACCAGGCGGAAGCGGGGTTGGGGTAAAAACAGGCGGAGCTGGGATTGGGTGACTTAGGTCAACGATTGGGGGAAACCTGCGTTGAGAAAAACGACGGTTGACAGTACGATATGGTACGGCAGCAGGACGTGACAGACGAGCTCCCGCCGGATCCTGCGGATTCGTATTTCGGGTGAATGGGATGAATTTACGGAAAACTCGAGGCAAATGGTCGGCGGGAATGGAGTAGCGGGAGGGTTAGGAGATCAAGAGGCTAGACGCATTCTGAGAATTCTGCGGTTTCCCGCTTAGGTAGCACTTCAGCGACGTTACATAACGAGCGACAATTCCCCAAATACGCCTGCAACTATACGGACGGGCATCTGGGTCTGGGCCTCGAGATCTCCTCAAAAGTGCGACACTGTCTAGGTGACCTAAACTCCTACCTCTCCGCTTAGCCAAATGCTAATGGTCCCGCCTCGCTGGGAAACAGGTATCTCTATTGGAGAGAAATGAAGGGCACAAAACAATTAGATATTTGGAACATCAACTTCCACAATGGCTCCCAGGAATAACAATTTTGTCACCTCTTGTTACTGTAGCGAATGTATACAGTCCAAGCCAAAGAGACCGCAATGCCTAATGCTCCTACCGCTATACCAGCAAGCAACAATCTGTCAACCAACTCCCCGCCCATTCCTGCTCCTCTCCCACATGCAGGAACCGCAGTTGTGGAGTTCACTTCTCCTTCCACAGCTGCTGCCAAAACACCACTGGAGGACGAGCTTCCCGTGTTGCAGCACTTGTCCCCTTCTGCAGAAGCAGCAGCAGGAGTATCACCAGAGCAAGCGCAAGCTCCTTCACTCCCTCCACCACAACACCCATCTGATGCTCCCCCCATTCCTGCCTCCTGATGCTCCTTCGACTGCTGCTCCTGCAGCAATGGTGGTAGCGGTGGCTGCTCTTCAGTCTCAACCTGCTGCTGCTCCTTGCTCTGCTGAGCCTTGTTAAGAATATCTAGGCTTCCGGCAGCAACAGGCAGATACTTCACTGGGGCAGACACCGGCACGCCAATCACAGACCACCGCCCGACTGTGATGATGCGGACAAACAAGTCCGACCCTAAAAGCGCACTCTTGCCACCACTGGTCGGCTCATTCGCTTTCGCCGTCCGCCCATTGGCTGTCGCAATTTGCCCCAGAGCTTTTTTATCTTGATCCACGGCGTCATCTGAAGACACACTGGCTGCTGACGTGTCACCTGGTGGCTTGCCACCTGGCAGCTTATCCAATGCCACGTCATCAGGGGGTACGAGCACCTGCACGTAGCTATCTGTGTGGCCGACAAGCTTCGTCTTATCTGCGGCAACATCGGTGATCCAGACCCTCTGGGTGGTTCCAAGAAGGTTCGTGTAGGGAGTGAAGGACTCTATGAGGGCGGTGAGTGCTCTGCTGCGCTGCTTCACCTCCCCTGATGGCACCTTGGGCATGCGCGCTGCTGGCATGCCTGGTAAGATCAGTAGAAGGGGGACGGGGGTGGGAGGTGGTGGGGTGAAGGGGCAGCAATGGGAGAGAGAGGGTCTTGTGAGTGGATTCTTGACTCCCTTGCAGCGAAGTTCGTGTAGGGAGTGAAGGACTCTATGAGGGCGGTGAGTGCTCTGCTGCGCTGCTTCACCTCCCCTGATGGCACTTTGGGCATGCGCGCTGCTGGCGTGCCTGGAGAGATATGTTGGGGTGGGGTTCGAAACAGAAGAGGCTTCCTTATGAACCCTTAATGGCACCTTGGGCATGCGTGTGACGGGGTCCTTGGCTCGAATGGACAAACAGCACAATTGGAAAAGTAGGGAAAAAAAAGGGGGGTACTCATACAGAAATGTGGCAGGATAGCTCGCCAAGGATGTAACTGCAGGCACATTCGGGGAAAGCTACATCTGCAGGGATTACCTGGGGGGAGTTTTATATGCATGTGGAGGAGGATACACCTGCAAGGCCCACCTGGAAAGGCTATTACTGCAAGGGTCACTAAGGGGAGGCTACAGCTATAGAGGCAGGTCTTACCTGGGCGGGGGTAGAACTGGGAGATGTGCACTTGAGCAAACTTGTACTTGCGAATCAGATCCAAGGTCTGCTCAAAGTCAGCTGCTGTCTCTCCTGCCATGGTGGGGTTGGGTTGGGTGGTGTGGGATGGGATGGGGTGGTGTGGGATGGGGTGGGATCGGGTGGGGTGGGGTTTGGGTTGGGAGAGACATGGAGTGCAGTCTACGAAATGGCTTAACGGATTGCCAAAAATGAGGTCAGCTGTGGTGATCTCCTATCACGGCCTGACGTGTCATAACTCGAGAGTTTAGAGCAAGTCCCCAACACACCCCATATGTTTGTGGTAAGAAAGGCTATGAACCACACACACACCTGGAAAGCCGCAGATGATATCTGTTGCGATCTCCAAGCCAGGCACAAGGGACATAAGTGTGTCCACCACGCGGCAAAACTCCTCCACCGTATACCCTCTCTTCATGCCCTCCAGCACGCTGTTGCTGCCCGACTGCACGCTGCTGCTACCCCATTGCACCAGAACAAAACGAGACTCCCAATACCCAAAGCAGGCAAACCCCTATGCATATGGTGGTTTAGGTTCTACACAACGTACCTGGGAAGCCACAGATGATGTCGGTGGCGATCTCCAAGCCAGGGACCAGCCCCATGAGTGTGTCAACCACCCGGCAGAACTCCTCCACTGTATACTCCCTCTTCATGCCCTCCAGCACGCTGTTGCTGCCCGACTGCACGGGCAGGTGCAGAAACTTGTACACGCAGGCGTGGTTGAGGATTTTCGCGATTTCGGGCAGATGCTCGAGAATGTAGGGCGGGTTGGTCATGCCGACTCGCAGCATGCAGCGGCCGTCAGGGGGGAGGGAGGCCACGAGGGCGGAGAGGAGGGAGGGCAGGTCGCTGCCGATGTCCCGGCCATAGGCGCCCGTGTCCTCGCTGCTTAGCCAGATCTCTCGCACTCCCTCTGCTACTGCTGCCCGCACCCTGTCCACCTGGAGGAGGTGGGGGGGAAGGAAGTGAAGTGACAAGATACGTTCTCATAGGCCCCCGTATCCTTGTTTTTCAGCCAGATCTCCCTCACGTCCTCTGATACAGCGCCCACACCCTGTCCCACCTGTAAGGGGAAGGGGGGTGGCAAGAGAGACGGGAGCATATGGGTCCAAGTTCCAAAGCATGGACCACGGACGTAGGCGACCGAGTCCTCGCTGCTCAGCCAGATTTCTGAGGAGCCTCAAAAGTCGTCTCTCTACCCGCAATTTTTTAGGCGCCTCCAAAGCTCCAACGCATGGACCACGGACGTAGGTCCTCGCTGCTCAGCCCGATTTCAGCACGCCCTCTGCTACCGCTACCCTCACCCTGTCCACCTGGAGGGAGATCAAACGTATCCGCACATTCAAAGGGTAGGAGCTGCTTCATCCTTCATGCTGGCATGCTTCATCCTTCATGCTGGCATGCTTCATCCTTCGTGCTGGCATGCTTCATCCTTCGTGCTGGCATGCTTCATCCTTCATGCTGGCATGCTTCATCCTTCGTGCTGGCATGCTTCATCCTTCATGCTGGCATGCTTCATCCTTCGTGCTGGCATGCTTCATCCTTCATGCTGGCATGCTTCATCCTTCGTGCTGGCATGCTTCATCCTTCATGCTGGCATGCTTCATCCTTCGTGCTGGCATGCTTCATCCTTCATGCTGGCATGCTTCATCCTTCGTGCTGGCATGCTTCATCCTTCATGCTGGCATGCTTCATCCTTCGTGCTGGCATGCTTCATCCTTCATGCTGGCATGCTTCATCCTTCGTGCTGGCATGCTTCATCCTTCATGCTGGCATGCTTCATCCTTCATGCTGGCATGCTTCATCCTTCATGCTGGCATGCTTCATCCTTCGTGCTGGCATGCTTCATCCTTCATGCTGGCATGCTTCATCCTTCATGCTGGCATGCTTCATCCTTCGTGCTGGCATGCTTCATCCTTCGTGCTGGCATGCTTCATCCTTCATGCTGGCATGCTTCATCCTTCATGCTGGCATGCTTCATCCTTCATGCTGGCATGCTTCATCCTTCATGCTGGCATGCTTCATCCTTCGTGCTGGCATGCTTCATCCTTCATGCTGGCATGCTTCATCCTTCATGCTGGCATGCTTCATCCTGCAATACGCACACGCGCCCAGGGAGCCCGCGCTCACAAGAGCATGCTGTACCCATGAACTGAGTCGCCTAAGGAATAGGCTCAAGCGTGTGGAAGAGGACATCCACTTACCAGCACAGGCAGAGGGTAGGAGCCGAGGTGGCCTCTGGCGTGCTTTGTCTTGCAGTAGGTGCATGCACCCAGGCAGCCCACACTGATGGGCACGATCTCCACCCACTTGTTGCGCCGCACCTGGTGGCGTGGGGGCGGGAGTGGGGAGGAAGGTGGGAAGAGAAGGAGAAGGTGTGTGAAAAGGGGGGGTTGGGGACGGCTAAAACATCATTCAACGCAGCACACACTGATCGGCACGATCTCCACCCACCTGTAGCGTGGGTGAGTGGATTTGAGATTAGGAGTTTTATAAAACCGTCTCACCACACAGGAGGTGAGAGAAACGTTGGGGTTGAAACCCCCCTGGGGGAACAGAGTGACAGACAGACACACTACTCTACCTTGGGCAGGTCGAGTGCGGGTAGGGCCCGGTTGCGGGAGAGCAGGCGGACGGTGTTGCCCTTGAGCGTCTCCTCCACCACCTCCACCACACGGTCGATCTGCTGCACCCCCACCACACTCACTCCCTCGCCCTCCGCCACCCCACTGTCACCCTGTGGGTAGAGCAAGCGAGGAGGCAGAAGGTGGCGGGGGAAGAGGCAAGGACATAAGGGAGGTTGATCGCAAGGGCGTCTCTTCCACCACCTCCACCACTCGGTCGATCTGCTGCACCCCCACCACACTCACTCCCTCGCCCTCCGCCACCCCCCTGTCGCCCTGACAAGGAGGGAGGGCAAGAGGCCAGGTCCGAGACAGGAGCAGAGGCAGGGGTGGTAAAAGGGAGGAGGCAGGGAAAAAGGCAGGGGGCATGAGAAAGGCGTCTCTTCCACCACCTCCATCACATGGTCGATCTGCTGCACTCCCACCACACTCACTCCCTCGCCCTCCGCCACCCCCCTGTCACCCTGATGCGGAGAAGTATGGGGGTAGAAAATGGGTAAAGAAGAGAGGGGGGAAACGCAGGACGAAGGGGCGGAGGAAGGAGAGGGGCAGGCATTGCGGAACCAGGAAATGCAAGGGTTTCTCAGAAGAAAGACATACCTTCCATCACAGGGCGATCTGCTGCACGCCCCCCACACTCACTCACTCCCTCGCTAACCCGTCATTGCATGAATTCTTAATGGGTTTACTGCAGCAGCACTTTAGTTAACAATTACAGCCAATGGGGGCACACGCATGTGGGGAGTGGGAGCGGCGAAGGTGGGGATTGGTTGGGCTGGGTGGGGCCTGGTGGGGAGTGGGGAGGGCTGCCTGGCGGGTTGGGGTGTGATGCATGGAGGCAGAGTAGACGAAAATTACTATCTCTCGGCCTGAGTACCCTGGGTGCTCCCACACACCTGATGCACGTGATGTCTTGCTGCTACATGCGCCGCCCCACAAACATGGGAGTGGAACGGAATGGAACGGAACAGAACGCAATGGAACGCAGCGGAACGGAACGGAATGGACAAGAGGACACACCTGGGGCACGCAGCCTGCGAGCACGAGTCGTTTGCTCAGCTCCCTGCCCTTGCGGATGAGCGTATCCATTGCAGACTGTGATGGGTTCTTCACCGTGCACCTGGTGGGGGGGAGAGGTCAAGCGGAGCAGGGGGGCGAAGTTGTTAAAGCGCAGACAAATGTTGTTCTTGACGTGCCTCAACGATAGCTCCCTGCCCTTGCAGATGAGAGTGTCCATGGCAGACTGTGACGGGTTCTTCACCGTGCATCTGGTGGTGGGCAAGGCAGGGCAGGTACAAGAGGGGTCGAGGGGAGAATGAAGGAGGTCATGGTATGAGACGGGCACTCACGTGCATATGAAGGATCTTCACCAGGAGGTACCCAAAAACCCTTGCTTCCTAGCCACCCACCTGACTCGCACTCAAGTGTTGATGATCCACAGGTCCGCCTCAGATGGCACCTCCACCAGCCAGTACCCATACCAAGCCCTCCCCTCACATCCCCTCCAACCAGCCCACCCGACTCGCACTCACGTGTTGATGATCCACAGGTCCGCCTCAGATGGCACCTCCACCAGTTGGTATCCAAACGCCGCCAATTGCCCAGCCATGTATTCACTGTCGCTCTGCCATGGGGTTGGGGGAGTGCGGTGGGGGAGGATAGGAGTTGGAAGAGATAGGAAAATAGGAGAGGAGAGGAATATGGGAGAGGAAAGTATGGAAAAGATACGAAAGTAGGAGAAGAGGGGGATCAATAGGGAAGGAGAGGAGGGGAAGATATGATGAGGAGGAGAGGAGGGGAAGATATGATGAGGAGGAGAGGAGGGGAAGATATGATGAGGAGGAGAGGAGGGAAAAGGAGAGGAGGCGGGTGGTGGAATAGAGATTCTAATTATTTGCCATGAACGAAACGGGTGTTGCCAACAAACTAGCCATGTACTCATTGCCTCCCTGCCAGTCATAACGGAGGGAGTCTGGTGAAAGAATTCGATTTTCAAGGTACAAGGTTTGGTTTTAAGGCAAGGGCAGAGGCAACTTTGTGTCACCAGGCAATGACCAAATCTGCAGTTGTCTAGAAATCCATGTGCTGTGCCCCATCACATCCGCGTATGGTGCCAAGAAAGTCTTCTTCAAGATACAAGAAGCAATTGAAACGATATCACAAAGCCCCTGGAAGGGTTTAAGAGAGGTACCTGGTTATGAGAGCAGCCAAACGTCTTGATGAATATAGACTGCAGGCGAGGGAGAAAGGTGAGAGCAAGGGCCAAGCAGGGACTTATTAGAACGAGAAGCCACACAATTGGGTGGGTAAAGCGGGCGGGGCAGTTGCAAAAGCAAGAACTCAAAGAGCGCCCATTCACACCTAACAGGCTGACTTGCTGTAGAAAAACGCGAGATTCATGTTTACCTGAACACACAAGTTTTCCTAAACTGTAATGATGAATACTGACTGGAATCAATCAATGGATACTGACCGAATTTCATCCCCATTATAAGCATACCTGCGTTCCAGGAACAGAAGCCGGCGCACTCTCATCCTCGCGATGGATCTCATCACCATGCTCGGCCAACGCATTCGCTGCGCCATCCCCGATACGAGCAATTCCGCTGCCAGCTTCTGGCTTTGAAACCCTCAATTCGCTGTCCGAGACCTCGCCTGCCTGCTTCAGACCGTTCTCAATGACACCGTTACCGATGTCGTTTCCGTTACCGTCAATGCGAACTGCGGATGACTTCTTCGGCCGTCGCCTAACAGCAGGCCGGCCGCCTCCTACTTCAGGAAGGGGTGCTTGGGAATCAACGGTTGAGATCTCTCCATTCAAGCCGTTTACGGCGCTTTTGCCGCTTTGTTTACGACCTAATCCGGCTCGCCTGTCCTCGTCAAAAGGGTGGTTACCCGATGCCAGGTCCTCGATGTCAACCATCGTGGCGCCTTCGATGCGGTTGGTAGCTTCGATCAGGCAATAGTACCAAGGTGATGGAACTAAAAACTAGTCAATGAAGCAAAGTGCCTCTGGAAAACTACCAAGGTTCATTTTCCTCGTTATGATTTCAAATGAGCACATATCGACGCCAGTACAGTAATATTTTGCGTTGTAAGAACCTTTATGCTCCTACTTTCAGATGAACATGGGCCCAATCGAGATGAACAAATCGGAGAGAAAAGAAAAGAAAACCAAAAACAAGACATAATGTCCAGGGAAAATATGTCAATGGTAACTTACATTGGGGCACTATAACGCCAACGGTAACGATTTCAACGCGTTTGGGAACTCGTTTAACGTGTTTGGTAACTCCCTTAACATGTTTGGTAACTCGCTGATGTTACAACTGAAGGGTCGTAGTGGATAGGATAAGGTTCCCAAGTGTAAGAGAGAGAACTGTGAAGTCTCTGTAGTGACCTTGTTAATAAATTGAAGGAGAACAAGATGATTATAAGATAGGAGTGCAATGATATAAATAGAAATCCTAGCTAACCCTGTACTCTGAGGGGTACATTCCCTTGTTAACTGAATTACATTGCTACAGTAACCCACGACTATTGCCATTCTAGACAGTTACCGTGTTGCACTTTGCAACTGCCTTCTGCGGTTACTGGGCAGTCAAGGGTCACGGCCGTTGACTGTCTTCGACTGTTGACCTTCGAGTGACCCTCGACCTTCCGCGTGCTCTATATAAGCTATTGCGATACTAGTACATGCGTTCACTTCGTTATGGAGTGACGCGAGAGTGGAGAACCTTCGGGAATGTTTATGATAACATTTCGGTTATTCCAACACTCCCCTTCATTCCTGAAGGTGGGCCACGTGGGACTTCTTGGTGATCCCGCAAAGGTTGGCGCAGTGCTGGAACTGTTGACGTGGCAGTTTCTTTGTCAGGAAGTCGGCTGCCATGTCACCAGTCGGGCAGTACGTGAGCTTGACCCTGCCCTTGTCGATTTCGTCTTTGACGAAGAAGTAGCGAAGGGCGATGTGTTTTGTGCGGTTCACGAAGCCGGGCTTGTTCGCGATCTTGATCGCGCCCTGGTTGTCGAAGAGTAACGTGAAGCGCCTGTTCGTCGTTACTTTCGCTTCCTGCAGGAGTTCCATTAGGTACAATCCTTCGCGAACAGCAGCGCTGGCGACGATGAACTCTGCTTCAGCTGACGAAAGAGCGATGCGTTCCTGCTTCTGAGAGTTCCATGAGATGAGTCCAGCAGGTTGAAGTTGAAAAATGAATCCTATGCGGAAGCGTCTGTTGTCAACTTTCAGAAGCTAGGTAGGAATGTGTTGACTATCGAGTGATTTTGGTACAAGCAAGAAACCTAAGGGGTTATACCCCATAGTATCTACCCCACTACAGCCTACCCAAAACAATAACATATGTATATGTTTGACACACCCCATAGGCAAAGTGGGGGAGAGCAAGAGGTCACAAGACCAGTCAATAAAACCAAAACAAGCTCAGGGTGGATCACAACGTCACCACACACACTGAGCACAAGCAAACGGCCACAAGGCCAGTTCACATGCAGAGGTATATATGCAACAACAACAGTACAGTGATCTCTACCTGGCAAAAGCAAGCATGCAGGTATATATGTATATAGATCACAGTACAAGCAGAGACTACAGCAAGTGTGGAAACGTAGGCACAAGGCCCAACAAAATACAAAAGCGTTGATGGTCACCAGACGGAAGTGCCTTGGTGAATATATCAGCAGTATTGGCCCGAGTGGCCACGTGAGCAAGGCGAAGCTGACCCCGCTGCTGCAACTCTCGAGCAAGGAAGTAACGCAGAGCGATGTGCTTCGTTCTGTGCTCCAGTCTGTGCTCCTGTCACAAGGCAATGGCGGCCTTGTTGTCTACGTACAGAACTGGAGGAGAACGAGGCCGCTCTCCCAGGTCGGTCAGCAGGTAGGTGGGCCAATGTAACTCCTGTGCAGCCATGGCTATGGCGTAGATCTCAGCCTCACAACTGGAGCTGAGAACAGAAGACGAGTGTGTAGACCGCCAAGAAACAGAGCCGGAGCCAAGGCTGAATGAGTAACCCTGTGACGACCACTGTGTAGCCTGGTCGTCAACCCAAGAAGCGTCTGAGTGCCCAGTGAGGACAACTGGACTCCGCTCTCCAAGCACGAGCCCCATGCCCGATGTGCTGCACAAGTAGCGCAGTACCCTCTTAGCAGCATCCATGTGCACCTTTCGGTGCCGACCAGGAGCCACGTAGCGAGCCAGAAGGCCAAGAGGGTACGCAAGGTCAGGACGAGTGCAGTTCATCAGGTAAATGTGGCAGCCCACTAGCTCTGGGTGAGGACCACTCGGCTCTACGGACTCGTCCGAAGGTGGAGCTGAGAGCGAGTGACATGTAGCCAGAGGAGTGGCCTGTGCCGAGGACCAGGTGAAACCGAAGCGCTGAAGGACCTGCTGCACCATGTGTGACTGAGTCAGAGTGATGGTGCGGCGTGCTCTGTCCCGGGTGATCTGCAAGCCAAGGTAACTGCGCAGCTCACCCAGGTCTGTGGACGTGTGTCTCTTCTGCAGCTTCGACTTCACCAGGGCGAGAGCCTCGGTGTCAGCAGTGGCAAAGACCAAGTCGTCGACGTACACGAGGATGTAGAACGGCGGCAGCGAAGTGTCGGTGCGCAGAAACAGCGACGGGTCAGCAGTCGACGGAGTAAACCCAAGAGCCGCAAGTGTCGTCCTCAGTATGTCGTGCCACTCACGTGGCGCCTAGCGGAGACCGTAGACCGGCCGCCGGAGGCTCCACTGGGTACCAGGGGGGAACGACCCAGTGAAGCCAGGCGGGCGGCGCAGCCAGATCTCCTCGTGCAGGTTGCCCTATAAGAAAGTTGTGCTGAAGTCAAGAGAGTGAAGCTCGTAGTCACGCTGAGCGGCAACGTGCAGCAGCACCCGAAGAGTGGTCATCTTCGGGGTCGGGGAGAAGGTCTGTAAGAAGTCAACTCCCTCACGCTGACTGAAGCCTCGAGCAACGTAACGAGCCTTGAAGACAGGCGGAGAACCTGGCGGCCGCTTCACCCTGAAAATCCACATGCCGTCGACGATGTTCGCCCCGGGAGGGGGAACCTCATCGACGTACGTGCCTGTGGACTTCCAGGATGCCATCTCTGCGTCCATGGCTGTCTGCCACTGAGAAGAGTACTCACCCGCGATCGCCTCAGCGTAAGAGCGCGGGGTCGGGATGTCTGGTGCATCCGGGTCTCCCTCAGGGGCAAGCAGCATGGCCACGAGATGAGGCGCAGCGGCCGCAAGACACTCAAGGTCCTCGTGCCTATCCTCAAGGACGTCCGTGCTAAGAGCACATTCACCCCCGACAGACGGAGGACAGACAGACTCAGACTCAGCAACAAGACTAGCAGCGTAGTCTAAACGACAGGCAGCAGCAAAGTCGACAAGCTCAGCGACTAGGGCAGACGCAGCAGTGGACTCAAACGAAGGGTCAGTGACAACAGTGGCTAACAGACGCGTGACAGTAGGGTGCTCAGTACGAAACTGGTCAGACTCAGGGTCCGCAACGTCAGGCAGAGAGGACGCAAGGGGAGACGGCAGAGGAACACGCGGCGGAGGAGAGGAAGGACGACGGACTACAAGGCGGGTGCCTGGGACAGCCGGCTGACGCGGACGAGGAACACGACGACCGGAACGACCAGAATGGACAGGCGAGACAGGACGCGACGCAGGCTCACGACGCTCAGCAAGGCCCCTTGTCTGCTCAGTGTACGGAGAAGGAGCACGCAGCGGTGAGTTAGGTTGTAATGGAAGACCAGTAGACGAAGGGAGACTGAGAACCTGGTGAAGCGCAGAGTCAGGCGGTGGCTGAGACGACGGAGACGGCGGAGCGAAGAACAGGCGCGGCTATGCAGTGCCACCAGCACCAGCAGCTCCAGCACCTCCAGCAGCTCCAGTACCCTCAGCAGCTCCAACACCTCCAGCAGCTCCAGAACCCTCAGCGCCAGCTCCTCCAGGACCAGCTCCACCAGCTGCAGCACCCCCACAACCGGCACCTCTAGTCCCAGGGTCTCCAGCCTCAGTGCCTCCAGCAGCAGCACCCCCAGACCCAGGGTCTCCAGCAGTAGCACCCTCAGACACAGCACCTTCAGCCCCAGCAGCTCCAGTACCTCCAGTACGAGCACCTCCGGGACCAGCGACTCCAGCACCTCCAGTAGACAAAGGACCAGCACCACTCCCAGCTCCAGTGACGTCAGCAGGAGTACCTCCAGCAGCAGAGCCCC